CTAAAGAAACTCTCCTTATGACGAGAAAGTAAATGAGTACTGTGACGATTACAACCTCGTTCTCGCTCACAAACCTGATCTCTATCCCTACGATCATGTTGGAAGCATTTTTGATCACTCTGTCGATGATGATATTGTCTATCTATTACGGATCACTTTAGATTTATGAACGTCGGTTGAATAAGGGATTTGATTAAAATGGCTCATTTTAGCAGCTAGGTTCTCTCTCTCCTCACGAGAAGCAGCTATATCGGATTGGACAGTCACTAATTGAGTCTGAAACTGTTGTTGATTAGTGACAAGTTGGGCTAATTGCCGTGATAGTGCATCAAATTGGGAAGGATCCCTGGTCAAAGTATTAGCACTAGGGATGACAAGATGACCACCCACGATTGCATGCAATGTAATAACAACTAAATGCAATTTATGATGAGATCAATGAACAACAATTGCACATAAAGACAATATAAACTTGAGCAGTTATATATATATATATATATATATTTCTGGGATTATGTATATCTGAATAAGGCAAGCTAATATTGATGATCCATTTAAAATAACAAAGCACGGGTCAAATACTAGTCAACAACGTAATGGCATAAAAAGTTAAAAGTGAAAAGTGAATAAGATGAGTTTGAATAGGTCTAGGGCGTCGATTTTGTGAATTTTAGATAAAAGTGAGGAATACCGCAGTACAAAGAAATTAATCAATGTAATTTTAAAATAAACAGTAATATAAACCAAAGATAGATAAAATAGTAACTTCTCTCGTTCGTGGAGAAGTTGTGTTGATTCGTTGAGACGCCACGAAAGAAAATTTCCGTGTTCGTTGAGACGCAGTACTAATCAATCAAATTAAAATATGCCTGCAAAACAATGCTAGGAAATTCTCGATTTTTTTATTTTTATTTTTTATTTTTTTGTTTCTTTTTTTTTCTCCCTTTTTTTCATCTTTTTTTTAAAATTTCTTTTCCTTCACTTTAAAAAAAAAAAAAAAAACACAAATCAATTCAAATATTAACTCTTAAATAAACAAAATAAAGGAGATAGGGACATAAGTTGAGGCCCAAATTACACACTACCTATTTAACATAGAGCCCAATATTAATACATTACCCAACTAATACACCAAGGCCCAAAGTAAAATCAGGGGCAGAGATTCACGCAAGAGAAAATGGGAAATCGAGGGCTGTGGCGATGGAAGTTGCCGGTGTGTGGGACAAGCGATGTTGCTTGGATGATGACTGGCGATCGGTGTTCATCTGGAGAAAAAAATAGAGGTGGCGATTGGAAAAAAGGTAGTGACGTCTACGGAGGTGGAAGCCGATGGTGGGTGTGACTACCGCGGCTCGAGGTGGCACGAGGAAGAATGCTGATGATTTTAGGTTGGATTAGACTTTCCTGAGTAAGGGTTGTGGCATAATTAATAGGTTACTGGGTTTTGGATTGTCGGCAGTGATGTACAGGAGCTACCGAAGGTTGTATTGGTTGGGTAGTAGTGCGAGATGGTGGTTTCTTTATGCGCAAGATGGGTTTTGTTGGATTTGTATGGGTTTCTTGTTGACGTGTGGAGGTTATTTGTGGGCTAGGGAATTGTGTATTGGGTAGTTCAGGGGAAGGGGTGGTGGACAGGAGGTGGTGACTAGGTTCTGCAGCAACGAATTTGAAGTTTTCATTTTGAACAGGATGATACTGGGTATGGTTAGTGAGCTATGGATTGCAGGTAGTAGAACTTTTAGTCATAGAAGAGATGAACACGTAAAATACTTCCCAAGTTTAGCTCTGATACCAATTTGATGTAGGATTAATTGAGAAATTCAGAACTTGTAAATGTTGAATAAACTAGCAGAAGCAGCAGAATACACACAGTAAAGAAACAACTAGGGGAGAAGAAGAAGAAGGAGAGAAGGGAGAGAGAAGAGAAGAAAGGGCGGTGGAAAAGGAGAAAACTTCTGCAACACTTCAATTCATTTCCATCAATTCTGCCTCCCTATTTACAGAAAAGGATTGAACATATAGCAACACAAAAATATAAAAGGCATGGGCCAGCCTGCCTATATAGTGCGAGCCCAATACCAAATATAAAGAGACTTGCAAGCCCAATGCCAAAACATTAACTAGCCCAAAGCAAAAGAAAAAGGACCAAACCTACAGCATAAAAGAGCCTTGGGCCGCCCATAAATACAGCCCAATTCAACTAATAAAACATAAAATAAATAACATACAAGTAGAAACCCAAAATATGTGATGTCCTCATCAGGAAGAATATCTTCTTTTTATTTCTTTTCTCTTTCTTTTGAAAAAGGTAGAGAGATTTGTGCAATGGATTTATCAAAATTAGTTTAGAGTCTTTTTGCCTTGGTCAACTAACGGATTTTTTTATGGGAACCATCTAGAGGTCCTTCTGCCACCACAGTTTTGAAAGTTTTGGGGCCTTTGTTTCGATCTAAAGGTTTGGGTGGAACTTGCACGGTTTTGAAAGGTTTGGGACCTCCACTGCTAATTTTCTTTGGAAAAAAATGTATGTATAGTTCTACCTTGTATCTATTTTTATTTGATACAATTATTTATTGGATGATAAATTAGCAACAAAATTTCAGATTATAGCAATTTAATGATAATATTTTTGTGCATTAACAGTTTATAAGTGGGGTAGGTTAAAAAATACAACTTCCATAGGCTAACAGCTGATAGAATATCTATTTTGCATTAGCATAATAGCTTCGAGTCCTTGGTCTTGTTTGAAATCCTTAGACCTTTCTGAACCTTGTTGGATCCAAAAGGAGACGGTGTAATGATGGCTATTGAAGTCAAAAGTGTATGTTCTTCTTTACTTCAATTTTAGGTATTAAATTCCAGAACCCTGGTTATGACCAATGTAATATGGCTAAATCCCTCTACTTTGGTGCAACTCTTTGTTGGTGTAGCCAGCTCGTGTATAAAATAATTTTGGGAAACTTTACAGCCTGATTTTTAGGTAATTAGTGGTGATTTTCTGGTTTCGATCTCTTCTTACATAACCCCTGTTCTTGATTTGCTTCTCGTTACTTAATCCTTAGATTTTTGTGACATGAGCCCTTTTGTCTGGCTCTAGTAGATGTGAGATCCTGTAGATACTTATGGTTATGGAGTTACCCATTGATAACTTACTCCGAAATTTTTTTTCACCGTTGTTCCTTTGTTCTTGTAAGATAAATAATTACAGTTCAGTCTCTCCCATTGGGTTATTAACATGCTTACAAATTAGCTCACTGGTTAGGAATCACTTCCATATTGTATGTAATGGTTAGCAGGAAGTGGTTGGGTAACCAGCAACGCCAATGTTCTGTCTCTTGCATGTCTTCACCTTTTCTTTTCTTTTTGTGCTTTCCTCCTCATTTTTGTAATGAAAAAAATTCTTACACAATCTTGTTCACTGTGCAATGCTCGGTACATTCATCTAATTTAGATACAACTTTGATGACTGCCATGTATTAGCAAGATAAATATTTGTCAAGGCAGTAATGCTGGCATCTTGTTATGCGCACCTTTTCTAACGGGGAACAAGACCAAAACATGCCACTAGAAGACTAATAAGCCGCTGTCTTCTGAGCGGGTGACTGCTCTTCTTTTAACCTCAGATTCCCTGGCTTTTAACCTTACTAATGGTCCTGCCCAGCCAAGGGATACGGGATATTTCAAACTAGCATGAATCTGTAGTTTGAGAAGTTTTAACTTAGCAGAAATAGTTGGGATTGAGTAGAATAATACTTGTTAACTTCCATTGCGTTTGACAGGTGCAGCACTCGCTTTTGGTTTTGGAGCCGTCACCGGTACCTGCTTTGGACTGGAAATTGCGAACCATTGGTTCCAGCTATATAGGTTGGATACAATGGCTGCGCAGATGAAGTTCTACGAATGGCTGCAGAACAGAGCTTGAGGACGGTCTTAAATTGGACGTGCATTTAAACCTGGATGGAATTTCTCTTTTAGGCAATAAGAATCCGTTTGATCCAGTATTTTGGTCTTTGTATTTTTGTCTTGGTGTCTGGAGAATTTTTACAATGCTTGAGGTTATGCAAAAATTTCAGTCAGTGGATTTCTCCCTTTATTGTCTCCTCATGCAATTATTTCGAGGAATTAATGGCATGTTTACCAAGCTAGATTAAATAGTATTTCTTAAATATAATAATAGTAATAATAATAAAACAAAGTACAATGTCTAATACTATCATGTACTTAAAGGAGTAATGCTATTTAGTGGTGTGAAGTATCATTCTAGGTGACAATTATGTGACAGTATAATTCATATAAATGTAATGTCATATGATTTATTTAATTGAATATATCGTGTGGCTACGTAGATTGATAATTTAGTACTACTAGTGCTAAATAACTTTATTCTTGACGGAATTTATCAATTGTCTGTACAAAATCATTGTATAATATCAAGTAGAAATAGGGACTAAACCTTAATTTCTAGCCATCTGCGACAATTCATTTATAGCAATCCCTCATTGCGGTTTATAATGCTAGACGTGATTAAGTCAAATGTGTGACAAATAAATTAATTGTTTATTTCAAACCAGACATAATTGAAAGAAACGTGTTTAAGTTTTGTTACTACTGATGTAACAGACATGCACGTACTAAATGTTTACGTGGTAGTATATTTTTTATTCATTCAGCTTCTAATAGAGAATAGTTTGATTCTTTTCTTGAAAATTTGAAATCATTCAAAAATTCAAAACATAATAAACCAAATATTATAGATAATCAAAGGATTTTACTATTTAGAAATCTCCAAAGGATAAATCTAGATATACATAATTTGGGTATGTAAGGATGTCCACAACCCTTACATCAAGTGAGGCCCACCTCGCACGGGTCCCATTTCATGTGAGAGATGTGGACACCCCTATACACCCAAATTAAGTACACCAAGTACCACCCATCTCTGAATTTATTTAGATATTTTCCATTGGGAAGGTTAACTTACGAAAATAAATACCTTGTCAAGAAAGAGAGAAGAATTAACTTATATAAATGGCATGTTAGTCATTGAAATAGACTACACAAAACTGTAATTAGAAAGGTAAATGGAAGCCCCTAATGCTTTCAGACCAAATTACAGAGTAAAATGACACTTATTTGAATTTTTTGATCAGAGAGATCATTGAGCATTTTTTCAATTGCATAATCATCGTGAGCTTGTCCTCGAGTCTGCAAAACAAATGAGTTACATAAGCAAGTTGAACAATGCCTACCCCCACATTAGCATAGGAACAAACTCGATGTCACTTTATACAATGCATGTTATGGATTAAACCTTAAATCATAACTACTAGAGCAATAATAAACAAAATGAAATAAGAACACAGCCAACACCCAAATTTCTAGGGGTTATCAACGTGAGAGCTACATACACTCATCCCCCCAGTCAAACAATGGAAAGAAGAATCAAATAGCAAGTATTAGACTCAAGGCTTCTCAACAGAATGCATAAATCAAGTATACTAGAGGTAGAGGTTAAGGTACCTTGATAGACGGGACCATGGAAAGAGCTTCCTCTATTGTTTCTGGGCAAAGGTTCCCAAATACAGAAAGCTGCATATTAAGTAAATTACAAAAGAATACAAGGATATTCATCAGGTATGGAAGATATCTGTGCTTGGTAAGTTACATAATTACCTAAAATTCAGCCAGCTGATATCGACTGGGAATTCTGACCTTGAGTTAAGATTTATGTTGTTTAGTTGAAATAAAGCAACAATTAAAGCAATGAGAACAAAATAACACAATCACTTGTATCATCGGATATACTAGAAAGTCCTTGTTAGCATGAGCTTCAGCCTTAATGCCTCGCAAAACATAATTTAAATCAAGCAAAAGAAATATTTAAAACCTGACATAGAAATAGCAATCTAAACCATAATGAGTGATGCTACACCTACAAAAGAGGATGACAAAGTTGGTTGACAAAGTATGAGTTGGCAATATCTTTATCACTCATTTCAAAAACAATTTTTGAATTCAAAACAGATTAACAGCCTAGATCTTGCCAACATTGATTTTGTCAACAAATTTTGTTAACCTACTTTGTACAAGTAGATTAATTGAACTATAATTATACAAGAAAAAGCTAGTGTTTCCTTGCAATTTGTACATATACAATCAGTAGAAAAAAAAGTATGTGCTTCATCTTTAAGAATTTCAAAAATTTTACTTAGAAAAAAAGAAGGACTAGCAATTCAAAGTAGATAACAGCACTTGCAACCCAGATGCCAACATCACATGAAAAATGCAAGTTATTGGTGATAGCTCAAGACGACTGATGCGGACATCATCCTCATCGGGCCATGTGTTAGGCCATTTTATCTTCCATTTACTTATTTTGGACTTTAACTCTCATTAGGCTTGTATATGGATTTGGCCCAAACCCAAGTTTATTATTTTTTTATTTATATTATTGTAATTGGGATTGAAAGTTCAGTTGATGAATGAAAGACATTTTCTTTGGTGGTTTGTCCACGTCTCTTCCCTCTCCCTCACTTTCCCCTCTCCTTTTCTCTTCTTCTTCCTCCCCTCTGCCTTTCCCTTCTTTCGGTGCTGCCTAATTCTTCTTCTCAAGTGATTCTACATCAATTTTTGGTATCAGAGCTAAACTTGAAAAGTATTTTAGGTGTTCATCTCTTCTACGATCGAAAAGTTCTCCTACGTGCAATGCATAGCTCATCAACCACACTCCAGTATTATCCTGTTCAAAATGAAAACTTCAAAGTCATTGCTTCAGAACCCAATCACCACCTCCACCTTCTCTGCGTCTGTTCCTGTCCACCACCACTTCCCTTGAACTACCCAATACACAATTCCCCAGCCCACAAGTAACTTCCACACATCTACAAGAAACACATACAAATCCAACAGAACCCATCTCGAGCATAGAGAAACCACCACGTCCTTCCACAACACTCGAAATTCACTCAACACCCGGAACCTCCTCCACCATCTACAATCCCCACTAAGCAATAACTGCCCACGATCAACAGAACCCCACAACCCACAACCCGTCACCACCAAAATTTCACAATTTATTGTGCGAAGTCACTTACCCAATTGAATCATCATCTTCATCAACAAGATCGCAACCCCCACAACCATATGTCAACCCAACACACTACTCTTAAACCACCGTGCCTATCACAATAAACATAGAACCCTGGTCCAACCAGAAATTTCACGCACAAGAAACCTTTATCTACTTTCGCCAGGTGCTACTTCGACCTCCAATTTCCAAGCAGCCGCAACCACCGACACCCCAGTGCCACTCGAACCACGATTCCACTCAACCCACGATTTTCTCCAGATCCGGTAGACATGGATGGAAGGATTTGTTTGGGTAGTGGGTATTTGATTTTCATATTGGGCCGTGCCTCAGTATTCTGAGCTTGGTTTTGTGAGTTAGCATTTATTTTTAATTTGGGTTAACATTCTGGGCTCCATATTGTGTAATGATTGGGATTGGTCTTTGGAAATTTTGATTTTCAATGTGGGCTTTGCTTTAGTATTTTGGGTCCAGTGTTGTGAAAACAATTTACATCAAAGTGTAGTTTGATTTTGATTTTAAAAAAAATAAAAATAAATAAATAAATAAAAGAAGAAGAGAGAAGTTGTTATTATTATTATTTTTTAACATCATTTTCAAGTATTTCTTTCATTCCAATTAATTGGACACAGCTTTTTCAAACGAACGAAAAGAAAGTCATTGTTTTTATTCATCCTCAGTTTATATTGTTGTTTATCTTGAATTGTATCAATTAGCTTTTGTGCTGCAGTCTTTACATAAAATTCACGTGATTAACTCCCCTTGTCATATTTTCACCTTTACCCCCTCATTTATTTTACGTACTTATGTCGTTGACTAGTGTTTGGCCCTTGCTTTATTATTTTACATAGATCAGCAGTACCAGCTTGACACATTTGAATATTCATAAATCCAAAAAAATAAAAATAAATAAATAAATAAATAAATAAAATGCTGAAGTTGTTATTTTCCATTTCTTGAACTAGTTGTTTATTGATCTCGTCATTTACTGCATTCAGTTAGTGTTACATTGCATGCATTTACGTAGTGGTCGTTTTGTCATACCCAATTCCAATACTGTGATCATGGACCCTTCTCAATTTGATGCCCTTACTCGACAATTAGCTCAACTACATGCTCAATTAGCAACCGTCCAAACTGAAGTGACTGCCACTCGTGAAGAGAGTAGAGAACTAGTTGCTAGGGTGAACAATTTAGAACAAAACTCTCCCTCAACCGACGCTGATAACTCTGAAGCGTCTCATAACATACCCTATCGTCATCGACATGGGGGTCGACAGCGTGTTCGTCATGGGCGAAGGAATGGGGAACAGGAGCGCAATCATGAGCGAGACCATGACCATTATGGTTCTCACTCACCTCCTCGCTATGAGGAGCGTTACTTTCGAAACATCAAATTAGACGCTCCTACTTTTGATGGCTGTTTAGATCCTAGAGTTTTTACACAATGGATTAGAGACATGGATCGTTTCTTTTCATGGTATGGAGTCCCAGAGGACCGAAGAGTTCAATTTGCTAGTTTGAAATTAACTGATACTGCCCAACTCTTTTGAAAAAGCGTTGAGGATCTTCTTAAGAGGCGTCATGCACCTCCCGTTGGAAGTTGGGAGGAAATGAAACGCCGCCTTCAAGAGAAGTATTTGCCCCACTCTTATAGGAGCAACTTGTTGGACCAGAGGAATACTCTCACACAAGGAAACCGTCCAGTGACCGACTATGTTACCCAATTTAATGAGCTCCGAATGCGATGCCACATCGTCGAGGATGAAGCTATGACTTTAAGTAGGTTCAGACAGGGCCTAAGAGACGATCTTTGACGTGAGATGTCACCACTCTCGATCACGCTTATTCCTTGGTTCGAGATTACGAGTCGATTATTAAGACTCCGTATGGAAGGCGTAGTGATAACCATCCATCCACCTCTTCGGCACCTCCTCCTCCCACCAAATCTCTCCTAGGATCTCCACCGTCTAACACACTCCCTGATTTAGACTATAAGGGTAAAGCTCCCGAAACTTCAAAAACTTCTTCTCGTTTGCAATGCTTCAATTGTAAGGGGTTCGGCCATATCTCCTCTAGATGTCCGAGCCGAGCTTTAGTTATTGATGAGCGAAAGGATGTCGTTGATGAGCCCTTAGAAAATCAAGTCTATGAGCCTAACTTTGAAGAGTTTGACGATTTGGGTGATAATGAGGATACCTTCTTAGGTTGCCTTCGTGCCCTTCCTGTAAGTCTAGGTCCTGTTTCTCAAATCCCCGACACCTCTCGGTTGAGTGTTGTACGATGTACCCTTACCCAACCTAAGGATGTCGATGATTGGCGCCATCATGCCATTTTTCATACTTACATCAAGATCAACGATAAGGGTTGTAAGATTATTATTGACAGTGGGAGTTGTATTAACGCGGTCTTTGTGACCACAGTGTCCCATCTTGGGTTGAAATCAGTCCCGCACCCCCAACCGTATAATGTCTCTTGGGTTGATACTTCTTCTATAGCTGTGAAGGAGCGTTGTCTGGTGCCTATCCAGTTCCTTGAGTATAAGGATCATATATGGTGTGACGTCATCCCTATGGATGTCAGACACGTCATTCTTGGTCGACCGTGGTTGTTCGATTTGAATGTAACTATCCATGGAAGATCAAATTCATGTTCCTTTGTATTTAATGGAAAGAAAATTCACCTTAATCCTTCACCACCAAAATATGTTAAGTTTCACTAAGCCAAAAAAAATTGTCGAGAGGAAAGGATTACATGTGATTAGCCCTACAAAATTTGAACGGACAATCATAAATGACTCAGTCGTATTTGCTGTGATTGTTATGGAAGTCTCATCCGATTCCCCAATAACGGCCCCTACTAAAGTCCAATCACTTCTTCAAGAATTTAAGGATGTATTTCCTGACGACCTCCCTGATATATTGCCTCCCTTACGAGATATTCAACATGCTATAGATCTAGTTCCAGGATTGTCTCTCCCCAATTTGCCTCACTATAGAATGAATTCTGCTGAACATGCCGAGCTCCAAAGACAAGTGGGTGAACTCCTTCACAAAGGCTTCATCCGTGAAAGTTTAAGCCCTTGTGCAGTTCCCGCCCTTCTGACACCTAAAAAAGATGGTTCTTGGAGGATGTACGTTGATAGTCGCGCTATCAATAAGATCACTGTCAAGTATCGTTTTCCCATCCCTCGACTTGATTATGCTAGATATGATGGCCGGTGCCACAATCTTTTCCAAAATCGATTTGAAGAGTGGGTATCATCAAATTCGAATCCGCCCAGGAGACGAGTGAAAAACTGCATTTAAAACGAATGATGGTCTATACGAGTGGTTGGTCATGCCTTTTGGACTAACCAATGCTTCAAGTACTTTTATGAGGGTGATGACACAGGCCCTTCGACCTTTCATGGGCAAATTCATTGTCGTATACTTTGATGACATTCTCATATACAGCAAAACTAGGGAACAACATCGAGATCATCTCACGCAAGTGAAGAAAACAAGATTGAGAGAAAATTCTTATTCTTCAACAATAAAAACATTGATTACAGTAAGTATATATACACGAGATGAGTAATAGGAAAAGGAAACTAATCTTCTAAAATAGGAATAAAACTATTCTACCAAAAACTAAAAGATTACAATCACTAATTGACTATAATTACTATATCTTATCTTCTTTCCATACTCGGACCTTTTCTAGTTGGTTTTCTAGTATATGATCTAGTTGGTTTTCTGAGAGCAATAGGTAGATCATCTCTTGGATTGCTGAAAGGATCTTTATCAGTTCCTATCACCGGAACTCTTTTGGTGCTTCAGTTGCAAGGGTTTCATTACACTTTGATTTAGGCTTTCGTGAGTAAACTAGTATCTCCTTGTCACTTTGCTTTTCTCCATCTTCCCCTGAATTCAAGTTTTCTTCTGTATATGGCACACTAGGAGGATTAGTATGTGTGAGGTCAGAAGAGGTGAGATCAAAGTCCAAGAATTCATGATTGGAGAGCCGATCTTCGTTCAAGTTTCCCACGTGAAGAGAAGGCTTCGAGAAGTAAGGTGTGGTTTCAAAAATAGTGACATCGAGACTCACAAGAACCCGTTTCCCCAAAGGATCATAACATTTATAACTAGAGCTGGACAAATCTCTCGAACCGAACCCGACGATTCTTGTCAAATTAAATACCCGAACGGGTATTTGAATTGAGAACCAACAGGTACGGTTCGGTTCTCGATTCTAGACCAAGAACCGAAAAATCGAATAAGAACCGAATTTTTCTAATTTTTTTTTATATTGAGTAAATCAAATTATTTTAATTCTAATTTTTTCTAAACAAATTAAGAAATTAACAATTTTTAAATCCAAATTTTTTGCCCAATAATTTGTTTCATTTCTAATTTTTTAATTTTTGGCTCCATTACCCATTTTATTGTTTCATTTCTTAGCCCAACAAGATCCAATCCACTAAATAACCCTAAACACCTACACTAAAGTGCATAACGTTGTCTCGACTCTTGCACTCACTCTCGTAGTCTCGCTGACATTCCAAGACCTATACAATCGTCGACCGATGTTGTGACTTCTGATCGAAGCTGTGACCTCCGCCGACCGAAACTTTGGCCATAGCGATCATTTGAACAAGGTAGTCTAGTAGCCTATGGCATTCCAAAATCATTGAATGTATCATTAATCGTATTTATATAATGTTGTTATAAATGTTAAAAAATTTAATTATAGTACAGAACCGAACGGAACCGAACTAAACCGAACCCGAACGGTTCCATAATTATATTTGGACCCGACGGTTCCATTTACTAGATACCCGAAAATTTTGGTTCCGAACCGACCCGACCCGCGCCCACCCCTATTTATAACCTTTTTGAGTGGGACAGTACCCAATAAACACGCATTTAATGGCACGTGGTTCAAGTTTATTGCGGTGTTGGGAGTGAATGTGTACAAATGCAGTACAGCCAAACAGTTTTAAGGGTAGGTTCGAATTAAGATGGGATGTTGGGAAGCGTTTTTGGAGTTTTTTTAAAGGTGAGTCAAAAGAGAGGGTCCGACTGGGCAATCGATTTATTAGATAAATAGAAGTTAGAATTGCATCTCCCCAGAATGTTTTTGGCATATTCATTGTAAACATTAACGGGGGTGTCCCCATTTCAGAGTTTAATAGTATGTGCCTATTTTTTCGTTCAGCAACCCCATTTTGTTGTGGGGTATGGACACATGAACTTTGGTAGACTATTCCATATTTTTTTAAATAGTCTTGCAAAGTAGCGTTGAAATATTCTGTACCATTGTCAGTGCGAAGAATTTGAAGTTGTGTTTGAAATTGTGTTACGATCATGGAATGAAAGTTCATAAATACTGATCGAACATCGATTTTTTCTTTCAGCAGATAAACCCAACATACTCGAGTGTGATCGTCGATAAATGTGACAAACCACTTTGTTTGGGTACGGTTAGGGGTGCAGGAAGGTCCCCATAGATCACTGTGAATCATAGTAAATGGTTTGGATGGTTTGTATATTGATTTTGGAAAAGATGTACGCTGATGTTTTGCAAACTCACAATTTTCACATTGAAAATCAATAGGTGTTTTATTCATGAAAATTGAAGGACAAACATGTTTTAAATATTGTAAGCTGGGATGACCTATTCTATTGTGCCATAATAAGATTTCACTATCTTTAAAGGTAGATGTAGAATTACATTGTGAAAGTTGACCTAGTGAACTCACATCAGTTTCCTCGAAGTAGTATAATCCCTCACATTCTTTAGCACTGTCAATCGTCTTCCTCGATGAAAGGTCCTGAAAGACACAATAAGATGGGAAGAAATTAGCAGAGCAGTTGGAATTTTTTGTTACTTAACTGACAGATAATAAGTTACAAGATAAATTTGGGACATGGAGAACAAAATCCAATGTTAAGGACTCAGACATTCGAATACTCCCTTTTCCTGCAACAGATGAAAGTGAGCCATTTGCAATTTTAACTCGAATGTTGCCAGGACAAGTTGAGTATGAATTGAATAGATACGAATCCGTCATATGATTGGATGCTCCGGAGTCAATAATCCAAGCATTTTTATATTTCGAAGTATTTAAGGCTCTAGGAAAGATACCTTAGTGGGCTAGTGAGCTAGAGGGGCCTTTAGGAGAAGAAGACTGACCGGAGGTTTGAAAGCTTGCAAATAGTTGATAGAATTGTTCCTATTGCTCGGAATTAAATGTATTGCTTGCAGTTGAATTGTTTTTTGTTTCAACCTGATATCGCTGGCTCATCGAGTTTAGCTTAGGTCTCCAGTCACTTGGCTTCCCATTAATTTCCCAGTATGTATCTATTTTATGACCCGACTTACGACAGTGCTCGCACTAAGGACAACCCCGTTGTTTTTGGGTTGACCCATTTATAATTCCTTTTGAAAAACCCAAACCATCACTGTCATTAAAAGGCCCATTAATATGTTCAATTTTTGGCCCATATTTTGGCTCGTTATGTGTATAATTTCCTAGCCCAGAAGTTGTAATTCTTGGAGGTCCATTTCTCCTTCCAGCTACGGCCGAAGCTTCTCCAGAAACCTCCCCCATCATCACCTGCCGGCGAGCCTCTTCGCGACGTACTTCTGCAAAAACCTCTCGAGTGGAAGGTAGTGGGCGGCGTCCCAAAATTCGGCCTCAAACTTCGTCGAGTTCGCGATTCAGGCCGGCAAGAAATTCATAGACCCTTTCGTTTTCTTGCTTCTTCTTGTACAAGGTGATGTCGTCGGGACACTTCCATTCTTCTTCACTGTAGAGGTCGAGGTCTTGCCAAAGAGATGTCATTTCCTTGAAATATTATGTGACATCTCTTGTCCCTTGTTTGGTCAGCCACAAGCGGGTTTTCAATTCAAAGATTTGTGAAACGTTTTCAGCGTCTGAGTAGGTGTCTTTTATAGCATCCCATACAACCTTCGCTGTAGGAAGAAACAGATAGGTTTTCCCTATAGAGGGCTTCATCGAGTTCACTAGTCAGGCAATGACCATGGAGTTTTCTGAGTGCCATCGTTGCTACAGGGCTGTGTCGGCCGGTTTCTTTATCTCGCCAGTAAGGTAGCCTAACTTTCCTTTTCCATCAATCACCAATTTAATCGACTGGGCCCATTCACGGTAGTTTTTCCAGTTTAATTTTTCAACAGTAAGCTGAAACGAGAAATTCTCGAATGCATTCTGACCAATTGAGGAATTACCCTCTGTTTCTGCGCCTGACATTGTAGACGCAGAACTGTCGGCAAGGAATTCCGCCATAGTTTTCTAGATGAGAGCCCCTTGCTCTGATACCATGAAGAAAACGAGATTGAGAGAAAATTCTTATTCTTCAATAATAAAAACATTGATTACAGTAAGTATATATACACGGGATGAGTAATAGGAAAATGAAACTAATCTTCTAAAATAGGAATAAAACTATTCTACCAAAAACTAAAAGATTACAATCACTAATTGACTATAATTACTATATCTTGTCTTCTTTCCATACTCGGACCTTTTCTACAGCAAGTTTGCTCTACACTGCGTGCAACAAGTTTGTATGCCAATGTCTTCACTGATAAAATTGTGTTCCTTGGATTCATTGTTTTTGCTACGGGAGTATCTGCTCATCCTGTGAAGATTCGGGTAATTGTTGAGTGGCCTGACCCCAAGAATATACATGATGTTAGGAGTTTTCATAGTTTAGCTACCTTTTACCGTCGTTTCATCAAGGGGTTTAGTACGATCATGGCTCATATCACAGAGTGCATGAAGAGAGGATAATTTCATTAGACGCAGGAAACGGCCAAAGCTTTTCAGCTAATCAAAAGGCGAATAACAGAGGCTCCTGTCATGCGACTCCCAGACTTTTCCAAAGTATTTGAGGTCGAATGTGATGCGTCAGGGGTAGGAATAGGTGGAGTCTTGAGTCAAGAACGCCACCATATTGCTTATTTTAGTGAGAAATTAAATGATGCCAAACAACGGTACTCAATTTATGATAAGGATTTGTACGCAGTCGTACAAGCCTTGCGCTATTGGTGTCATTACTTATTACCACACGAATTTGTCCTTTTTCGGACCATGGGGCCCTTCATTTCCTTAATTCCCAGAGACTATTGAATTCTAGGCATGGCCGCTGGATCGAATATTTGCAAGCCTATTCTTTTGTCTTAAAGCATTTGAAAATCGAGCTGCTGACGCTTTAAGCCGTCGCATCGCCTTCTTGTCCACCATGAGTGTTAAGGTCATCAGGTTCGAAAGACTTAAGGAAGAGTACGAGTTATGTCCCGATTTCAGAGATATTTTTCTTGATTTGCAAAATGGGGAGTTGGACACCACTGACGATTTCCGTTTGGAAGAAGGCTATCTTTTCCGATCCAATAAGTTGTGCATCCCGAAAACTCCAGTACGAGACTTTATAGTGTGGGAAAGTCATGCTGACTGGTTGACTGGACATTTTGGGCGTGATAAGACTATAGAGGAAATTGAACGTCAATTCTATTGGTCCAGTTTAAAGACAGACGTGGCCAAGATTGTTGGCACATGCAACACCTGTCAGCATTCTAAGCAAAAGAAGTAGAACACAGGCCTCTACACGCCCCTCCCCGTCCCTAATTGTCCTTGACAAGACGTTAGTATAGGTTTCGTGCTAGGGTTGCCACGTACTCCAAAGAAACACGACTCCATTTTTGTTGTCGTAGATCGCTTCTCGAAAATGGCACACTTTATTCCTCGTAACAAGACTTCCGATGCATCTAAGGTTGCTAAGTTATACTTTCATGAGATCGTCAAGCTGTATGGCCTCCCTAAGACCATTGTCTCGGATAGAGATGTTCGTTTCACTAGCCATTTTTGGCGAACCCTATGGAGTATGGTTGGCATTAAACTGAAATTCTCTACTGCGTACCACCCACAAACGGACGGTCAAACTGAAGTTGTTAATCGTAGTCTTGGTAATCTATTAACGTGTCTAGTCCAGGAAAATCTTAGGAATTGGGATTTAATTCTTCCTACTGCCCAGCTTGCATATAACAGTTCAGTGAATCGGTCTATAGGTATGAGTACTTTAGAAGTTGTTCATGGTTTTAAGCCTAGGAAGCCGTTAGACCTTATTCCCACGTCTCCACATGCTAGTATTTCTATATCAGCTGAGTCTTTTGCACAACATCTGCGTGACTTGCATATTGAGGTCAATAAACAGCTAGAAGCGAGTAATGCATTATATAAACTTCAAGCTGATTTGCACAAACGCCATGTTGAATTTAATGTTGGGGATTATGTTATGATTCGAATTAAACCGGAACGGCGTCCATCTAGGCCTGCTTCCAAATTACAAGCTCGTAGTGCTGGTCCTTTTAAAATTTTAAAGCGTGTTGGTCCAAATGCTTATGTCATTGACTTACCCTCACATTTTGGCTACCACCCTACCTTTAATGTTAAAGACTTAGCTGCTTACAAAGGCCAATTTCATCCCGCTGATGATCCTTTCACACCTCCATCTCTGGACCCTCATCCTGAACATGTTATCCCTGCCCCAATTCCACCTACTGCAGCACATAAAGATAAAATTGATGCTATTCTAGATGCACAAACCATATTAACCAAGGATGGAGACATTCAGCGCTTCCTTGTTCGTTGGGAAGGTCGTCCTGATTCTGATTGTACTTGGATCTCCAAAGAGACACTTCAACAGCTTGATCCTAATTTGTTGGAGTATTATAGGAGTCAACAAGATCTTCCCCTACCCTGACCACGACCCTTGCGTGTCTATAGACGTCGAAAGAAGTTTGCTCAACCAATCAGTTTGTGGCTAGGAGATTGACAGCGGCCTTTTGTGATCTACCTCCTCGACGGGGTCGAGTTTTTCTCCCATCCCGAGAGTTGATGTGGACATCATCCTCATTGAGCCATTTGTTAGGCCATTTTATCTTCTATTTATTTATTTTGGACTTTATGTCTCATTGGGCTTGTATATGAGTTTGGCGCAAGCCCAAGTGTATTATTTTGTTATTTATATTATTGTAATTGGGATTGAAAGTTCAGTTGATGAATGAAAGACATTTTCTTTGGTGGTTTGTCCACGTCTCTTCCCTCTCCCTCACTTTCCCCTCTCCTTTTCTCTTCTTCTTTCTCCCCTCTGCCTTTCCCTTCTTTCGGTGTATTGGGCTTGTATATGGGTTTGGCCCAAGCCCTCAAAATAGGTTTATTATTTTGTTATTTATATGATTGTAAGGAATCGAAGAACTCAGTTGATGAAGATGAAGAATTGAATGAAAATTAGCATTGCTTTCTCCTGCCTTCCCCTCTTATTCTCTTCTCCTCCGGTCTTCTCCCTCCATTCTCTCTGTTTCTTCCCCTTTCTTGCTGCCTATTTCTTCCTGTCCTTCTAACTTTGTTATTTCTTGATTAGTATATTGATTCTACATCAACGACCTTGTCATAGGTGTACATCAGACTGAATAAATGAAGCTATCCAATTAACTTCTGCATATTGTGATAGGATCCTGTTGCTGCTGATGATCTGCTGGACCTAGGTAGTTGCTGATCAACTGGAAGACTAGGAAAATGTATGATTATAAAATGTAGAAGGCAGATTGTTGTAGAACAATAGATTTGAGCTTGAATGTATTGAAACAGAATTTTGTATTGATAGAGTAACAGAAATGAAATGACAATTCCAGGCTATTCGAGATGCCTTGGTTCTCTTCACTCTTTTCTCAACTAATCACCTGAATGAGTAATTCCCACACCCCTATATCACATTTATAGACATTTTATTATATTCCTATTACCCCTTTTGCCCCTTCACTAACTGACTAAGTGGAATATTCTAGAATATTGGATGACTTGACAGCCTTCATATTGGTTGTATCCTTGCAAACCGATTGGAGATCTATCATATTGATGTTTCTCTTCAATGTTCTTTGTTTATGAACCAATCTGTAAGAGAGCACAGAAGTAACAATATGAGAAGCAGGACTGTCTTGTGACCTACTATCTCTGAAGTATAAAAGAAACAAAAGCAACTTCTCGAATATGAACACCTTTATACATCTCGAAGAACCACCCAAAGTAGAAGGTTAAGTGGTGTACCAGCCAAAGGATGAAACAAGGAGTACAAAAACAAGGGAAAATGTATAACAAATCAATATGGTAATGGTCCATCGTCCATCTTGAATTCGTTATCAAGTAGTTTAACATAAACACGATCACAGATTAATCATAAATGGCATGTATAAATATGAAACATAAGGAAAAATTCATCATGATGGACACTCTCGAACTTGTCTGACAGCATCAGGGTTCTTATAATGGCAGCAGCACTTCACATATTGGAGTGACTTCTCGAAAACCCTAGAAGAAGGAAGATAACCATAATTTAGACACACTTATACAATCTGTTCAAATACCATGTTCTTTCAGAAAAAATATGAACCAGAATTTTTTTACAAGACCGAGACTTTGATAGATGTGAACAAGAGACCATATTTTTTGAGACACTCAAACAGACCAGACAAGCCATCACTCATCATTTATCTCTAAAGATATCAGAAGGACGAGACTCAATTTTCTTTCTTAACCTAAAATTATGCTCTCCTTTTGTGTGATATTATCTGTCTTACCTTCTGAAACCAAACAACAGGAACTAAATACCTCCACCTTCCACTTTATCCCCTATTAAGGTAGAAGGCACAATAAATCCAGCAATAGTACTCTAAAAACCCGAAAAATCGAAAATAAAAAAACTCATGGCACAATGCCTTTTTTCCAATTTAGTGTGAGAAACATAATATGCTTTTGCACTGTGAAACTGCATTTTCATTTTTTTCAGAAAATTTCACAGACCAAGATTTCCCTACAGAATGTTACATAGCATACAAAAAGCAACTCAATAAAACTCAAGAAAAAGATAAAAAGAAACTATTCACGTGTGAAGAATATGCCAAGGTCTGCCAAAGTGCTTCTTCTGGGACAAATTCATCTCAATTTCAATATTAAGCATTCCCAAACCAACAAAATTTAGAAATTCCTCCATGCAGTACAAACAAATTGTATATCTGAAACATCGTGGGTGATCCAGATTCAATGTGAGTAAATGTGAACAGATGCCTATATCAATATCACAATCTTCTCGGAGATTGAATTGACACCTCATGAGAAAAGAAAAAATGCACTCAAAAGTTAGCCCATGTTTGGCTAATGTTTATAAACGGTTTATAACCAATCAAACCACTTTTATCCACACATTTCATGGATCCACAAGTACCACCCACTTATCCGCTACTCATATTTATCCATTTACAATTTAAACAGTTTATAAACACTTCCCAAACAAGCTCTTAAACAACAAAATAAAGAAGAAATTTGAAAGCGTGTCAATTATACTTACTGAGATATTTGGTTCATAGGATCCTCAGACATCTGTTGAGGCTGCTCATACTTGTGTTCAAGAATTAAGGCAACTTCACAGTTCATTAGACACTTTGCCTTCAAAAACTCTGAACAAATAAATTACATGAAAATGTCAGGTTACATCCATATGATGCAAAGGTCATTAGATTTATGAGCCACAAACGAAATGAAAATGCAGTATCATTCTTTTTCTTGGGACAAAAGGAATTACATTAACAAAAGTGATACCAGAGAAGAACAACAACAAATAAATTTAACAAGATTATAGCGCGGGTTTACATAAACTACAGCTTATCGATCCTGTTACATGACCCAATTTGCAAAATTGAGCATCCTCGTACAATTTAGGTTTAGGGAAAAGTGGGTCCCACCTGTGAAGAAGTCGAAAATCACGACTGGAATACTGAAAAAATAAACGGTCAATTGATTTTTTGGGTGAAAAATTGTTACCAAATGGGGGCTTAAACTAGAACACTGAGAAGATCAAACAAAACAATGTTTCTAACAAAAATTACGTTCGATACAATAAACCATGCACTTAAATTACATAACACACAATTAAAAAACACCTGTTTAACTCCTGTGTAATCGTCAAATTAACTCCAACTATTTACCAAAAAAAAAAAAAGAAAAGAAAAAAGAAACACATTGCTCGTTTTATTTTTCGTTCGATTAAAGCGTGGAGATAATAAAATTAGGAAAAGGTGAATACCATCGGAAAATTTGAGTTCGGTGGCGTTTTCTTTCGTCTTCTTCTCCTCCAGACATTTTTGTTTTATGAATGTTTAAATCTCGCTCTTTCAAATTCGAAAGGGGGACTTATATTGTTTTGCATATTTTTGTTTTGACCCCTAAAGTTTTTAATTTGTTACTTTTTTCGACACGCTGTTTTGTCGTCTCTCAATAAATTTTTAATGCATCACTTCAATTTTAAAGTGTTACATTTTAAGGTAAAAAATTCGTTGAAACTCAATGCCCGGTAAAGGTCTCAATATTGGTAAATCTCAAAATTATAATGAGGTGTTAAAATTTAATTAAAAAGGTTGCTGATGAAAAAACAAGTTAAAAGCAATTAAATTTTACTCCTACAACATTGAACTCGACGAAATTCAAATAAATATATCACGTAGAGTGTCTATACATACAAAATAAAATGCCGAGTTTAGTTCTTTAATTTTTTGTTTCCTCCAAAAGTTGACAATTTAGTACCTGTTTGGTTATGATTTTTCACCAAAAAAATTTAATTTTTAACTGTTATTTCTCTAATTCGGCCGTCATTTTTAACTTATTCACTCACAGACAGAATCCACTTTTTTTTTAACAGTCAAAAAATTGATTCTCATAGACACTACCTAATAGGCCCATATAAGTAAATTTGAAAATGAGTGCCGATACCTGGCCGCAATCCAAGTTTTACTTTGTCTATCTTGTCACCACTAATCTCTTAATTATCAATTGTGGAGCCTCAAATGGCTTCGTTCTCTCATCTTGTTAAATCGTCCGTAAGAATGGCAACAGGATGGGTATGGGACGATTCGGCCATTTTCATCCTCATCCCGTCGAATATTTTTGTTGTCTTATTCTATGCCCATACCCGATCAAAACTGGACGGGAAGGGCTCGGTCCGGCATCGGGGCGGGGTAGGGCTCCCCGACCCCATTTTATTGCTCAATTTATTTTTTCTTTTTATTTTTTGCTTCTATTTTTTATGTCCTTAGTTAGTAAATATTATTGTTTTTTACTAATTAGTTAAAAACAACTTATGTTACCTTAAAAAATGAAGATAATTTTTTTTTTAATATAAAAACTTAAATTTGAAATCAACTTTAAACGAGACGGGTAGCAGAGTGGAGACTATGTTTCCCATACCAACCCCATACCCGCTTCAAGACAATGACACTCACCTCGTATCCGTCCCATTTACCCTGTTAGGCAAGACCCGACGAGTATCGAGTTGAAAAGATTTTTTTGCCATTCCTAACAATCCCATCATAATTTTACTTTTATTTTTTTAACCATACATTCTTTTTTTTAAAAAAAAGTAATTGTTACAAAATAAATTTTTTTACAAAAAATATATTTCAATGGAGCCCAAACAGGGCAAAATATAAAATAAAATGTCGCAAAGAACGACAACAACATTTAAGAGAATAAAAAGAGAAACTCTGTCGCGTGACCTTGAGGTCTACATTAATCATCGTAATCAAATTATTACTGATATACGCGTAATTAAAATGTTCAATATATACTACTAAAAAATAATACACATGCACGTTATCAAAATAAATCACTAGTTAACAACAATTAGACATTAAATAATAAGAATAAAAGAAAGTGAAATAATGGGAACACAAGAAGGAAAATTGAAAGCAAATAATTTGTCCGAATAACTTCATTAATAATCCAAGAAACGAATAAACATGAAATACATTCAGAACTCATTATCTTGAAACCATAGACCAATTCACAAAAATCAAGAGCACGGTTCGTTTATTGGACCAGAGAAGACCACAGAGGCTGACTGCACTCTTACACATTGATTTAGTTAGGATTACCATATGCCGGAGGCATCATTACAGCAGAGAAAATCTCGAATAAAGGAGTTCACCTGACCACAAAGAAACATTGATAAAATCAATGCCATTAACCAGATATGACAATACAACGTCAAGTAAAAATCATTCAAACTATTTTTGATCTTATCATTCAACATCAACACGCCGGAATCGATAGATAACCAAAAGAAGGCTTACTGTGAAAAGAAACCAATGAGTTGATGCAACTAAAGAATACAAACTTAGTTTGCCGCAGTACTAGAAGCACGTGGAGCTTGCGGGTTGCCATCGATCAAAGCAGAGTTGCCATCCATCTCTACAGTGTCTTGTTCAGCTCGAACTGAAGTTGAGCTATCTTCTGTATTATTTGATACAGACGCTACGTTGGTTCTACTATCTTCAGTTATTTCAAGATGATCAATCGTGCGGGTTACAGGTGCAATAACTGGATCAACATCTCTATGAACTTCAGTGGCAGGGTCAGGCACTGAACTATTGCGAGCAAACAGTCTCTCCTTCCAACCTCTTGTGCTCTTGGTTATTGATTCTTTGTATCTGGGAGGAAAATAAAAACAAATTGTTCAGTCCGAAGACTCACCAAAAGAAAAACTTGCCTTCTCTACCCTAGAGTAAGAGCCCAATCGACAGGGCTCTTGCCTCTTTTTTTGGTAGAAGAGCTTTTTGAAGAAGCCACCTCGAGCCGACTTCCTCTAAATAACCCTTCTAACAAGAAAAAATTAACCAAGCAAGCCAAAAAACAGCTTTTTAGTCTCAAAAGCAGCTTATGGCAAAACGTCCCTTAATGGAAATCTAAATTTTATGGGGTTTGGTTGTGATTTTTAAGCAACAACCGTAGCAGCTTGATGTTAAAGCCTGGAGAATCTGTCCTTAAAGCATTGAATGAACCAGACCACTGAATTACCTTTTCTTCTGCTCTTACCCTTTTTGGGCTTCTAGTTAAGTTGAAGGTCAATAACGAGATATCACAAAAAGAGAAGTATGACATTTAAATCGAACCTGGAGAACAAATTATATACAGAGTTTTCCTAGTACCTTGTTGACAATGCACCTAGGCGTGATTTGAGAGACTCTGAGAATGACTGCAAATCTGATGGTCCAGCTATATCTTGGCTGCCAGGGGAAGTCTGAGCAGGAAACCTTCTGCAAGAGAACTTGTAGACTAAGCTGTACTGAACAACAAAAATCACTCATAGCCGATTCCTACAATGTTAGCAAAAATTAAAATTCAAATCAAGAAACACAAGTACTGATTGCTAGAGGAAATTCCAGGTTGTATTGCAACAGCGCTTGATCTTGAGGCTGGGGTTGTAACAGAATCGGCTTGAACAGAAGATGGTTGTGTAGTAATTTGTGGAGAATCTTCTTCTACAGTAATAAATGGAGAATTTGGGCCAGCTATCATGACTGCAGGAGGAGTTCCGACTCCACCTCTATGAGCAGGGGAGGAAGAAGCAGAAGAAGAATTTGGATTAGTTGAAAACACCAGAAAATGGGGACGGCCTTGAGTAGATGACCTACTCCTATGACCTTCCCTCCTACCAAGCTGACGAGCCCTTCCCATAGCAGCAGCAGCAGCTAAGTGTTGAATAATACGTTCTTCAAGTTCAGAATCATTTCCACTAACTGGTAACTGTACAAGAAGTCGAAGAAAACTCGTAAATTCAACATGAAGTCACTAAGAAATTAATAAGGGGCAAATGTTTATAAGTGTAGGAATGAACCACTAACATGCTGCAATTCGATATCTCCCAAGGCTGGATGATGAAATATAGTGGTGTTTCTAGGTGGATTCATCCTCAGGTTCCTCTCATGTTCCACAGCATCAAGCAATTCTTGGCTGCCAAATAATGCGTAACAAGGGCACTCATCAAATAAGATCACTGAGAAGAAACATATGTGCAACGTGAGAAGAGGGAAAAGCCGAATTGATATACCTGCTAGGATCCTTCAGGCTGATGGTTTGCCAACACATGGGGCAGTGGGAGCTTCTCTGGCACCTAATATTTATTACAAAATAATGAACAACTTTATCAAAATCTTATCCTAACACACAACAATATAGATATAACCCTGGGTCTCCGGAGAAAAAAAAGTAGTTTCTTTTCGAAAATGACATGTAGATTCAAAGAAAGGTAAGGATAAATCATTAGAGTAGCTATCTTTTAAGTTACGTGAATTAGTTACATTAACTGATTAACACGAGGTAGGCACCATTAAGCGAGTCAAATATTCAAGTCAGAGAGTTACTAGATTTACCACAAAGCAGAACAAGCAGGAATTTAAGCAAAAAGTGGCAGATTCAAAGTCTGCTAGAACCAAGGACGACACGACAGTTATGTGCTTTAAGCGTGATATGGTGTCCAGAAGTCTTGACAATTTTTTTCACCTCAAAAACCTGCTTTACATAAAATAGAAATACCATTTTCGATATGAAAATATGAAATTTCTTTAAATATTCACCCCCCTACATAGGAAAAAATAACTACTTAACCAAGCTTTTAGGTCCATAAACAAAAATATAGTAGATTGGAAGACAAGGCATCAAGATGGATGACTTTAATTCACAATAGCCGAAGTTAAGACAAGATTAATGCCAGAACAATTCGAAATGTTTGACCAAGAGGATGCACGTTAACATAACCATTCATTCTGTATTATTAGTTTGTCGCTGGATCTTTATGTCTTTCACTGGATCACCTATTTCATCCACCTCTATAATGTCAAGAAAGGACAACCAAAAAATTCATATACTCAATCAAACACCCTTTTCCAAATCATCTAATTTCCTAATTATATTCTTGAACCTATATCAAAGTTACAACAATTCAGCATAAAGGGGCAATAAGTTTCTTGCCTACAGGGATATGAAGAAATCATCATGCATCACAAATCCACAGAGTAAATTATTTGATGCAAGAAATTTTTCAGTGAACGCAATCTTTATACCATTCAAGAATGCACTGGAGATGAAACCCATGCTTGCAAGTAGTGACCTGCAAATGGAAAAGTGCAATTACATTGACAAGTAAATTACAATCCATAACAATTCGACCTGTTATCCTAATACATACTGTTGAAGGATCACTATCAGAAAACTCTTCAAGGCATATGCTGCAAGCATCGTCACATGCCTCCTGAATTCCACCTTCCACAAAAGCTGCAGCCGATGTCAAATGGTTCTCAGGCGCCTTTTCATCATCTTCCATCTGTTAAAAAAAATTATATTTATTACAAAAAACATAGACCAATAAACAAAATTGTACATAAATCGTAGCAATTTCACATTTTACATAATCATAAATAAGTAGAAAATAAAATTAAAGACCTAATGACGTGCTAATATGAAAGTAAAACATGATTAAAAGAAATTAGACAAAAGATTAGTATGCAAAAATGAAGCATGAATTTTTCATACGAAAGCAACCAACTTCCGCATTTCGTGTATCGATTCTTAATGTCAAATAAAATCACTATTTAAATAAATTATTATCATGAATAATCTTTTATCAATTTTCGTATTTATTTCATTCAACTTTATTTCCATCAAGTGAAACTCAATATATATATATATATATATATATGTTCAATTGAAGTTGAGTAGTAGTCTTGCTGATAAAACATCCAGCTTCCACAATCACAGAGACTCCAGGAACACAAAAAGTTCAATTTCAAAATTTCACAGCTCAGCCCAAACCTTAAAACAAAATTTAACCAAAAAATAATAATAATAATAAAAAATAAATAAAATATTCAACTAAAACTGTCACCTTTATCGCTAATTATACCAAAGAAAAATCCAAAAATGCCCAAAATAAAGTCCATGTAATTATTCAGATCACTCTTTAACCATATTCAACACCCAGCAATCAGAAACATGTGGTTACACAAATATTAAACAAAACCCATAAATGAATTGGTAAAAATTACAAACTTCAAGGAAATAGAAAACCCAGCAACCGAAATCCATTGAATTTCACAGAATCACCAACATAAATGCAAATTACCTCAAAAAAGAATGTTATTTTTGGTGGGCAACTAATAGAAGTGATCCAATCTAACACCAGATCAAAGCAGAGAGTGATGAAGCAATGATTGGCATATATACAAAGAAAAGAAGTGATTATTTATTGGATGGGGTTTTTAATACGAGAATTTGAGGGAAGAAAAGTAAGAACAAGAAGTGGAATAAAGACAAAAACCGTGGAATTTTCTGGTTGGTTTTTGGATAATTATTTTTTTCTTTTTTTTTTGGAACACTTACAGATGGAACCCCCAACCTATTAAAACTATACCAAGTACGTCCCAATCTATTAATTTGACAACCCCAGTCCCAGCATTTAATTTTTATAATATTTCAATTTCCAGTTGACAATTGTATCATTTTATTAAAACTCTTTTTTTTTTTTAATTAAAATGTAATTTACCCTTATGTAATTAAATTATTAAATAAAATAAATAAATAATAGAAAGCAAATAATACTAAAAGAAAAATCAAAATGAACCCAACCTCCCACGGTCACCTTCAAGCTCCCATGTCCCACTAGAATTTGGTTTTCTTTTAATTTTAAATAATACAAATAAAATGTCTTTCTAACAAAAATTGAGTATTTATTGCTTAATCAAATATAAGCCCCAATTTGAAAAGATAATCGGCACAAAACCTCCTCATATTTTAATGTTATTGTACAAAACGTCTATACTTTTCATTTTCTGACATTTCCATCCATTTTTTACGATTTTACCCTTCTATTTAAATACTTCAAAAAGAAGAGAAAAGAAAAAAAGTAATTAGTATAAAACGTTTCTATCTTTCAAGTCTATTGTGAAAAACGTTCATTCATTTCATTTTTTTGGCATTTTTCCCTCATTTCAACATTTTTTTACGCTGAACGTCCTTCCATCCACGTTCCGTCAATTTCTACGTTAATTAAATACAAAAATACATTTTTCTTCCAATAAACAAGGTAACCCAACATGACTGCAGGTAAAATTAGTACCTTTTTTCTCTGATCGGGCTGCATATTTATCCAGAAAGCATCTAAACAATTAATCAATATTAGCAATCAACAAAGGTTATTTCACAACACAGCCACAAAATGTTGACTTTCCAACCCAAGACTCAAAAACTTTTTGGATAAAAAACCTATGAAACTTCAGAAAATCCCCAAAGTCGATAAATTTAAACAAAACCAGAAATTGGTATCAAGTTTAAGCCTCGGATTTGATGCCATAGCACAGAAAAAAGGAGGGGTGTGGATGGTTCAAGAAACTGTAAATAACTTATTTTTATAATTTTTAAATGGAATCTTTGATGGGTTACAGAATAATAAGAGCTAAAGATTCTCCAAAGTATAGCTGGAAAATGGGATTTTTCCCATATATTTGGTGGTGAAATTTAGCCTAAACGTTCATCCAAAAACGGAACGAGAACTTGAACACAGAGAGTATGTCCGTATGTATAGATTGAGATCTAGAGAGAGAGAGAGAGGGAAAGAGACCTGGGAGAACTTTGTGCGGGTCCGTGGCTCCGTGCTGCTTCAAATGACGAGGAAAATAATGGAATATTCTTTAAAATTTCTTATTCTTAATCATAAATAATTTTACACAACTCATTTTTTTTTTATTTTAATCACTCATTTTTATTAAATAAATCACTCTTTATAAAATATATTTCTTAAAAAAATAATTCAAACAGGCATTTTTTAGGATAATTTTACCCTTGTTTATTGAAAGAAAAAAAATATTTTTGTATTTAATTAATGGAAAAACTGACGAAATGTGGACAGAAGAAATCCAGCGCAAAGAAAGGTTGAAATGATGGCAAAAATGTTAAAAAATAAAAATTAGAGACATTTTCCACAATAGATTTGAAAAGTAAGGACATTTTGTGCCAATTACTCAAAGAAAAGTTGTGGAAGGTAAGGGTGAAAATGACAAAAAATGAAAGGTGTGGATATTTTGCACAATAACATTAAAAGGTGGGGACGTTTTGTGCTAATTACCTCAATATGAAATTGATTTTTTTTTTAAGTTACTTTTTCTTTTCTTGTTTTCAACAACACATTTCCAAAAAATGATAAAAAAAATAATTAAAAAATCATTTTTGACATTTCTATATAACTATTTCTTAATTTTTAATCACACATTCTTTAAAAAAAACTACTTTCCAAAAAATCGATTTCCTACTAGAGCTAAGAGTAAAATTGTCTATTTGGGAACTAGAGGGCTACAAAAAGAAAAAGTTGAAACTATAAGTGCCAAAATAATAGGTTAATGACCTATTTACTAAGAGTGTGTTTGATTGACATGAAAAATATTACCTAGAAAAGAAAATATTTTCCATCTTTTGTGGAAAGTAAAAATCACCTCTACCAAGGAAAATATTTTCCTTAAAAACAAGGAAAATCAGGCATATTTTCAAAAGTTGGAAAATGTTTTCCAGGGAAAAAAATAGCAATCAAACACTCCAAATAAGAATTTGAATGGAAAATTGATATTTTCCATGGAAAATAAATGTAATCAAACACACTCTAAATGTTTAATATGTCGGGGATCTCAATTGTAATTTTCCCATTTCTTTTTCAATGAAAATCTTTACTTTTTGTGTGATGCAAGCTGAGCTCGACTTGGTTAGGCTAGCTCTTGTATCCTGAGCATGCTCAATTCGATCATTTGGCTTGTGGATCATCATAGGTCGAGACAAAAATATTTACAAACTTTACTTTCTTAGGTCTAATCGTCTCAAATAAGAGTTACTTTGTACATATCGACATCTCTAGCTTGAATTGATTTTAGCACATGTTTACTGTCGTTATCAACGTGCAATTAACAAAATTTTAGCTTGGAGTTCCCACACAACCTAAATTAAGGAGTAGTTGAATAGCATGAGAGATAATTGCTTTTACTAGGTAGTTCTGGTTGTTCACAAAGTGAACCCGAGATTATTGATCGAAATCCTCCGTTACTTTTGTAAGTTGTCAACCTAGGTCACAAGTTTTGTTCATTTTTCACTTACACATTGAGCAAGTGACAAATTTACTACTTAGTAATAGTGTATATACGCTATTGACATTTTTTTTCCTTTAATGTCTTTAATCCTGTCAAACTAGTATTATAAGATTACAACTTTTGTAATTATATCATTATCACAAAGAGGCGCAAAACCTCTTCTTGGTTGGTCCTCCATAGTACGGGCATCTCCCTCTTCTAGATATGGCGACGAGCTAAGCTAAGTCATTACGGTAACGAGGAAAGCTAAGTCGGCTAGGACTCTCCTGGCATAGGGTCCATGAACCGAGCTTTGAGTGGCTCCCTAAACAAAAATAAACTTGTGTTTAATTCTCATTATTTCCACATCATAAAGAGAATTTGATTTTGTAATAGTAATTTTTTGGCGAATGTGGAAATTTGTTTATGTGTAATATTATTTTACTGGAAGATGTGTAGTTGATAAGAAAAGAGAGAAAAATAAATTGTAATTTAATGGGGGCCAAACAGGGGCTAAGACTCGGACCATGAGCTCGGTTCATACTAGGCTAAGTTGAGTGGCTAGTGAGACCCTTGCTTCATTATTTTTCAAAATTTTCGAATGTATATTTTTTAAACTGTAATGATACTAAACACTGATTTTTAATATGATTAAAAAAATATAAATATTTGAAAATAGATTAAAAGTACATATCTATAAGAGCTCGCAAGGCTGAACTCAAGCTCAAGTCAAACTCGATTAAAGATGAGCTCTGTTACGCCTCATTTCTAAAGCCCTCAGAGGAGGCCACTTCAAAACCACGTGGAGACATTACACGTAGACATTTGGCACCCAGCAAGATAAAAAATAAAGAAATGGAACAAGCTGCTTTTTGGTCGAAACACTATCTTCATTCGAAGTCACTTGTCGAAGCACTCTTTCTTCTGACCAAACTTCTGCACATCGGAAGCTCTCCCTTAATGCCGAACTAGTTTCTGCCTTTAAAGCAGGTTTGAAAACTATTTTTAGAGCCTGTTTGGGAGTGATTTTGATAATTGATTTTTTGACCGTTAGGAGAAAAGTGGGGTTCACCTGTGAGAAAAGAAGTCAAATATAACGGCTGGAATAGTGAAATAACGGTCAAAAAATCAATTTTTTGGGGGAAAAAATCTCTCCCAAACAGACTCTTAAGAATGATAAATGTCACATTTATATTAATGAATGTCAGAGTGATGTAAGACTCCAGTTAATGGGATGAGGCTATGTGGATCTGATCCAACAGTGACCATGCCAACCTCTCCTCTATAAATGGTAGCTCTTGTAATAGTTGAAGGAAAGAAAAAACAAAAATATACCTAAACTTTTATACTTGAAATTATAACTCTCTCTCTTGCTGGTCGTTTAGTGTTCGAGCTCGAATTCGTTTTATAGAATTGTTTGCGATAGATCTTTGGTTTTACAATTATCCTTGATCATGTTGTTGGCGTCCAAACATTTTAGTCTCGTGTCGTAAAGTATCTTCCACTTCCATTGTCACCGTGATCTCTGATCAAACGTGCTGGACTTTGTTTGTGTGCACACAAGTGGGTCCGGCATGTGTTGTCCACGTTGCCATTGCAAAAAACGAGGTCAACAAGCTCAACCGCTAATAGGCCCAAGCTTCACAAGCTTCCGAGCAGCTATATTCCTACAATCCTCCCCCATTTTCTTTTCTCCATATTCTCACATGAGACCTTGATGAATTTTGTGGATTGGTGGCAAAATTTCTTATATGCCCTATCTATAGTCTTCCAATGTCACAAGACACAAGATAAATATGAAAATAAAATTCAACCTAGCTATTAACCCAAAAAAGTAAAAGGTCAAGAGTTTTTGAAGTCGAACTAGTTTTGGAATTCCTTTCAACGGGTTTTGGAAAAGAAAAAGATAAAAATAAAGAAATGAAATATTGCATAAAGTTGGATGAACAGTTATTTTAAAGTCGAAATCAATACGCTCCATATACAGCTAATTCTCTTAATGCATGTTTATGTTACAGTGTTCAACCATGTATCCACATTAACATATATTCAGTAAACTATCACAAAGCTGCTTTCTCCATTGGATTCCATCAACATTCTCCCTAAGAACAAACATTTTTTTTAAGTCAAATAAACACCATGGTACTTGTTTGTGGCCAGATTTACTGTGTTGCTCTTCATTCTCTAGGAATGGTCGTAAGACCATAGTCAAAAGGAAAGAGAGGATCTAATTTGGATCACCAACATTCATCGAAAGCTGATCAATTACCTGAACCAAGTACATGC